AGATCAACAGGCTGGAATTCATAAATATCGATCGTGTACTGACCGAATCGCAAATCGGCGGATCATTGTGGAACAATCAATTGAGTAGGATTCGTCACTCTACATCAACTTCATTGACTACGAGAAAGCATTTGATAGTGTGGACAGGACGACACTATGGAGGCTTCTCCGACACTACGGCGTGCCTGCCTGAGAAGATAGTCAATATCATACGGAATTCCTATTACGGATTAAACTGCCAAATCGTTCATGGAGGACAGTTGATAGACTCGTTTGAGGTAAAGACCGATGTAAGGCGAGGTTCCTTACTCTCACCCTTTCTCTTTCTCCTGGTGATCGACTGGATCATGAAGACGTCAACATCTTGAGGAAAGCACGGGATACAATGGACAACTTGGATGCAGCTGGACGATTTAGATTTCGCAGATGATCTGACTCTTCTATCACACACGCCACAACAAATCGAGGAGAAGACGACCAGTGTAGCAGCACCAGCCTCAGTAGCAGTAGGTCTCAATATTAACAAAGGGAAAAGCAAGACCCTCCGATACAGTACAGCATGCACCAATCGAATTGCACTTGACGGAGATGCTTTGGACGATGTGAAAACCTTTACATATCTGGGCAGCATCATCGATGAACACAGTGGGTCTGATGCAGATGTGAAAGTGCGCATCGGCAAAGCCAGAGCAGCATATTAACAAATGAAAAACATCTGGGACTCCAAACAATTGTCAACCAACACCAAGATCAGAATTTTCAATACAAATGTCAAAACAATTCTACTGTATGGGGCGGAGACGTGAAGAACTACGAAAACCATCTTCGAGAAGATACAGGTGTTTATCAACAGTTGTCTACACAAAATACTTCGGATCCGATGGCCAGACACTATCAACACCAAGTTACTGTGGGAGAGAACAAACCAGATTCCATCCAACGGAGGAAGGAATCAGGAAGAAGCACTTGAAGTGGATAGGACACACGTTGGTGAAATCACACAACTGCGTCATAAGGCAAGCCCTCACTTGGAATGCTGAGGGTCAAAAGAGAAGTGGAAGACCAAAGAACACATTGCATCGAGAAAGGAGACAGACATGAGAAGAATGATCGAAAATGGTATAGAGCTAGAAAGGAAGGCCCATGACCGAGTGAGTTGTAGAATGCTGGTTGGTAGCCTGTGTTTTATTGTGAGTAACAGACGTAAGTAAGGATGATAGAGACAGAACTCAAAGCTTCATATTTTCGAATCCAGTTAATATGTTACAAAAGTGCGATCTTCAAATAGTGTTACCATTGAGTTATTTTTCACTGTTCATGACTTACCGTGTTGTACTATTTTTTCCGTACAGTAATAAGCTATGGAGTCTTCACCTAAATGGCACTGTTTCCTATTCTACATTTTAATGGAACCAATAAATAGATCTTCACTTTAGGTTATTTTGAAATTCAAGTCAGTAGAAAGATAAATAGCTGAAATTTTCATAATACTACTTACTGTTCAGTAGGATTTTTACGAAGATTAGGTAAGTCGGAAATTTTGACGAGTGTAGGCATTATCCTCGTGGACTATACTATCTGACCTTAAAATGGATCACAGTCTCAAATTACTTACTACCGATTGATTATATCTGTCATCGGCTACAAATGGAAACAAAAATTCAAGTTTACAGTTGATTGGGACTTCCCAAATGAGTGAACTACCGACCTAAGTTTTCTATATACTTTGTTCATTTCCATCAAGAGTCGTTAGTAAATACTTCTGAAATTTTTCAGACTAAGTCTAACCATACTCATAGGGCTTTCCTACTTCCAGAGGGCTTTTTGGTGAATTTAGACTACGATCAACCTACTTTTAAGATGTACATAATTTGAAACAAATACAGCCTAAGTAAATTATTACAAATCATATATGTGATAATGTTTATTGTAGCCTATGTAATTACACAAGCAAACTATAGATTTACAATAGGTTAAAGATTGCTAATGTCAATCAGTGTTCAAATGAGACGTTTTTACTATAAAAGTAAGTGACACATTTTCCATCGATTTATTCTTGAACGATAAAAGATGGTATCTTAAATAAATTTTGAAGTAAGTGTATAATCACGGTGACAACACAGCAATTTTATACGAAATGTCTTAGATTCGATATAAAGTAATCCTTAAAACACAATGATTCAAGTTCTTCATTTTTTCCCTTTCCTTAGTTTCTTCATCACAGTTTTATTCATTCAGAAACTAAAAGTATCCATTGGTGATTAAAATCGAACAATGAGTTCAGCATTATTGTACACTTCTCATTTACGTTAAGTCACAGAAATTTCCTTAGTTAAAAAGGAGAAACCCCCTTCATTATTAAATAGCATAGATATCTCCGAAATGTTTGTGCCATTGACTTTATTTCAGAGCCTTTTTACTGTTTCGTTACTCTAGATCTGATATAGAGACTTTATTTCAGATTTTAAAATCTGATGAAAAACATCTGGGACTCCAAACAATTGTCAACCAACACCAAGATCAGAATTTTCAATACAAATGTCAAAACAATTCTACTGTATGGGGCGGAGACGTGAAGAACTACGAAAACCATCTTCGAGAAGATACAGGTGTTTATCAACAGTTGTCTACACAAAATACTTCGGATCCGATGGCCAGACACTATCAACACCAAGTTACTGTGGGAGAGAACAAACCAGATTCCATCCAACGGAGGAAGGAATCAGGAAGAAGCACTTGAAGTGGATAGGACACACGTTGGTGAAATCACACAACTGCGTCATAAGGCAAGCCCTCACTTGGAATGCTGAGGGTCAAAAGAGAAGTGGAAGACCAAAGAACACATTGCATCGAGAAAGGAGACAGACATGAGAAGAATGATCGAAAATGGTATAGAGCTAGAAAGGAAGGCCCATGACCGAGTGAGTTGTAGAATGCTGGTTGGTAGCCTGTGTTTTATTGGGAGTAACTGGCGTAAGTATGTAAGCAAGTGTACGGGAAAAATACAAGAGTGTATGAAAGAGAATCTGATCCTTTGTCCATATTCATTTAAAAAAATTTTACGTTACATAATTTAAATTTTCGAAATTAAACTGTTCGTCTATTGTATTACATTGTTAAACACTGTTAAACAACAAATAAACTAAGCTCCCAAGGCGCGAAATTCTAATCAGTATAACCAGTTTGATCATTAAATAAGCAGAAAGCCCCTTAATGTTCAGGTTATTTTGACCCTCACCTATTAAACCTGTTATTCAACCTGGATACCATCTAACTACTCATGTTATTAGAAGTAAATACATAATTAAGTAGGAAGAATGTAATTGCAAAATTTCAGCGAATGAATTTGAAGTAAATCTAACGTTTCGCTTGGCAATCTAGTTCAAGCTTTTTCAAGGAAATACAATCAAACATCAAAATTATCGAATACAAATAGTACATAGTTCTTCGGTTAACTGTCGACTAAATAGGTCCTATTTTCATGTTTGATTGTATTTCTTTGAAAAAGCATGGACTACATTGCCGAGAGAAACGTGAAATTGATTTCAAATTCATTCGCTGAGATTTTACAAATACGGTCTTCCTCCTTAGTGTCTTACATCAACTCGGTGCCCAAATACTGTAAAACGATTCGTTCAAATTTAGTCGAAAGTTATTACATAAATACATAATTTTTATATAATTATGTATATTAAAAATGATTTCATAATTCGTATTAGCTTATAGACATAATCAAGTTCATGAAAAAGTAGAGACAACATTAAAATCAAAGGGTACAGTATTTGAACGGACGTGATTTATAGGTTACTTTTTACCGAAAATGTGTGACGTCGTCGTGAATAATTTGAAGCATCAGATGAACGCAAAATGTATAGACAAACGTAACACTATTTAAAAGTATATCATTATTGACGAAATGTACATAGTGGCAGTCATAAATCCTGTAATCAAAAAGTTATGATGAATAAGTAATGTATGATAAACTTTATGTGTATACGTCAAGAAACTGGTATAACTAAAGCTTCACTTCCATTTCAGAATGCTAGATATCATATCTCTGTCGTAGAGAACACACAAAACAATTTTCTCAGTTGAATTCAGCCTACCTTTCCATGTCACCTTTGTCTTCACTATTAAACTGAGGTCATTGTTATTATGTAGAGATTAAGTGGGTAAAATGATTATAAAGGAGTTTAATTTCTTGGAAAAAAACCATACACAATAGCAGGCTCATTGTGAGGGAGTTGTACTGTCTTAGTTGACCAGGCGGATTGCGTGTATGAAATAATATTTATTGTGAATAATAAATCTAGGATCCAAAAATCTCAGGGTCTTTAGGACAAAAGTCTTTTAGGAATTAAGAGAGAGTAGTTTCCAGTACTGTCTATCATGTGGTTAGGTTATATTTTCCAAACAATAAGAATATTTGGAACTTAAAGGTAACAGTATTTTTTTGGAATACTCCATTTACTGGAAATACAACATTTAATCTTAAATGTGTGATTCTTGGAAAAAACGTATTATATAAACCCTATTCTTGCGAAAATTAACAATCTTATCATATCCAAGTTTACTTTTTATAGTGAAATAAATTCAACCAGATGAACAAAGTACATAAATTTAAAGCCAATTCAGTTAACATTATTATCAGGTGACTAGAACGAGAAATGAGCTTCAGATTTCAATTTACATTGGAGATAAAAGGATGGTGATGGGAGCATACCACAACAACACAATACGCTTCTAAATAAAGCCTTTCTTGAAATCTTTCTTGAATTTTTTTGCGTATTTCTTTGTGTATTATTTACTAAAATGAAAATGACTAGTCGTAACTGACAATCATCCTATCGTCCTATGCATACTATGATAGACAATAACTTATCCAATCAAAATTGTTTACATTTCAAATCAATAAATGGAAAACCTATCAACTATATGATTGGTTCATCTGATGCAATCGGACCATTTGATAATGTAAAAATTTACCTCACTTTATTCTACTTATCAAGATAAGCTGAAAAGTTTTGACTAATGAAGACTATTTTATTAAAATGTGCGGAATATTATTTTATTTTTAGAACACAACCAAATGAATTAAATCTCATCTGTTCTTGTCATTTAAACGACTATGATCATTTTTAATGTTGCTGACGTGAAAGATAGTAATGAAATAATTTAATCGTAAAGATTTTTGCTAAAAGCAGTTTAATATATTCAAAATAAATGAATTCTAATATGACAGGCAAACCAATTATGGAGTCGTGATTTTCTATTTAATATACATTTCTATATTATTTCTCCCAATGGCAAGTAAATATTCAGGATATTTAATAGTGTTTATTACATACCACTTCGGTAAGTAGTGTAAAAATTATCGATAATACTCACTCAACATTCTTATTATAAATGCAAATTTTATTAATTTCGTAAAAGTTAAAGGGTTTTCTGAATTCCAATTCGAGATTAATAAGTCAGTGTACATTCGATACTTGGATGGATAGCAGTAATACATTGTTAAAAACTGTTGTACTACAAAACTACTGATGGAATTTGTGGTTTTGCAGCTTACATGCTCTCGTTGAGACATCTAATAGAATTTGGAAACTGCCTCTCTAAAGTTCTAGAACTATCATCAGATATCATCTAAATACTTCTGTAAGATTATCAAAATGATCAGTCAGCAATTTCACTTCTCAGCACTAAACCTGATAAAAAGAAACATTGTGGACCAGTCTTTGTTTTTACTCTGAGAAACATTGAGTTCGCCGTTGTTCAGTTTGTGATTGTGTTGAAATAAGTCTTCAGCTGTCTACGATTTTCAGTTAATCGAATGAGGGTTAAGAAAACAGATTTGAAAATTAGTGTTTTTATTTCAGTTTCTTCGATCTCACCTACTTGACCAAACATGATTCTCTTGTATCTTTTAATATACTGAATGCCCATTTCTTTTTTATCGTTAGATTACAAAATGTTTATTATGCATAATTGGCTTTATAACCACATTCACATAAAAATATAATCAAATGATATTTAGTATATTAAGAAAATATTACTGTTAAAGTGTTCGGCATCCACTCTTCTCACGCTTTCAAAATTTATATTCATGTAGTGCTTTTGATATCCTTATTCTTATTGCCTTCCTAAACTTGTCCCGTTATATTTGACAGTCTTTCGATTGTGATGGTATAAGGATTTTATCGATAACCTAATTAAAATAAATGATTTAAACAGAGGATATAGATAAAAACAACGTTGTCAATTCTAATTATTTAAGTCATAAGTGTGTACTGTGGGTGAGATCTATTCTGAGCAATGTCGCTTGACGAGGTGAATGTTATTAACTTACGTGGTAAGTCAATCAAGTAAGATCAGGAAGCGAGCGCTCATTATAAACCCAGGTAATTCGCAGCTCACCACTGCTCTGTTGAATATGCTATTTATTCCCTAAATTTACATTTACTCATTAATCAGTCAGAGTAATTATTACTAGCTAAATATAGATCGGATTTTTAATCCTGGACATTGTTGTTCAATCTTAAAGACTTATTAACTTATAATGAGTACTTTTCATTTTAGACTTGAACTACCATTGAATAAACGCGTAGGTTGATTATAAAAATGTTTGGCCTTTGATATTTGACTCGAATACGAAATGTATTTCGATGCAAATACATAAGTAGAGTGGATACGGATTTTATGGTACACCAGTCGAAGTAAATGGATGATTACTGATAATTAGATTTCTGCTGGGGAGTATAGTAAAGTATCAAATAGAAGAAATTAGTTAAATAACATTTTATCGGAAAATTACGTACATAATCGCATTGCGAATAACAGCGAGTTATGTCACAATCCAATTCTAATGAGCTTGTTTTCAACTCACTGTTTAAAGTTAACGAATATAACTGTTACACGCGATGTTTAGAAGACCTGTACATTTGTATTGGGGCAATATCAAAGAAAATTGCAAATGATGACATAAATAAGATATTTGACATTATACATTAAACTGTTGAAGTCTTCACTACAGTTGAATTGTTATGAAAGTACTGAATACTGTAGTTGAATTAATTTTTTAAGATTTCCCCACATAATATGGTTAACATTAAGTGGCAATTAGTAACTGCTCTAAACCCACACAAGTGACACTTATCTAGCTAAGATCCTTAGTTAGGACTTTATTGGTCAGTATAAAAGTATGAAAAATTCATGGATAAATCAATAGATATTTCTTCAACTCTAGAATCATTGATAAAAATGGAGTACTGTGTATCTGTTTATAGCTAGTTTGAGACTCCTTAATAATACGCACCCATGACTTTACTAGAGAAAAACTAGACCGTAATACTACTGTAGTCACAACTGATTGGTAACCTGATAGTTCTCACTTCCTATTTCAGCCCAAGATGAAATCTTTTACATTCTTGATATTGACGCTTTTTAAGAAATTTGATAATTAATTTAAAAATTAATCATAAGTAGGTATGTTATAACCGTGCAACTGAGCAGTTTTAAATAAATCAGAACTAGTTTACATATAACAGTGGCAGATATTTTGTTGAATATTATTTAGTGTTAACTTTTGTGAGCTAAATTAAACCTTTATGCATTTATTCTGTTGTACTAAACGGACCCTAAAAAAACATCGAACCATATTAATTGGATTGAAGATCCACAAAACAGTAGTTTTCATCTGTTGATGATATTGTGGGGTTTGAATTGTATATTTGCCAGTCGCTGACTTACACATAAAACAGTTCCTCACTTTCTGTTTCTGTCCAAGTCTAGTAAGACAGTTGAATAAATAACTTTCATCAAAATGTTCGATTGATTGTTTAAAACAAAAATATTTCAGAGTAATAAAAAACTATAGAAACATCCCATGTAGCTAAGTTGTGTTGGATTATTGCATTATTAAGTCTAGTTACACTGATATGTTTTATTTACAACATACACATTATTTACATTAGCTTTCTTATAGTTTCACATTGATAATGACAATATGGTCATTTGAACTCGTTATAATTAGAATATTCAAAGAAATAGTTACATACTTTATTGTAGGAAGTTTTATTCTTAACTAAAAGCCGACCTTTTTTATTGATATTCTCCCAGTTTTACTTGAAGTCTAACATTTAGGGAATAAAACTGTATGGTATCTGCCAACCGACTTCGCTAACTTACCAGAATATTGTGTTGGCTTTGAATAAAAGTGGTAATGTTTTCGTCTTACAAATATTCATACATTTCAATTAGTCCCAAATAGGACGAAACGCGCGTCCTGGATTCCACTGCTAGCCCCTATCCATCTTTGCTTACAATCATACATTTCATTTATATCTCTGACAATCTAAACTACTTAACAATATTTAGTGTGCAGAAAATTCAACAATATATTTTATATTTACAAAGAAGCTGTTCAGTTAGTAATCCCTAGTGTGTTTGTTGCATTTTATGTAGACTTAGTATCGATGCCGTAGAATTAAGATATAGGTTGATAAGATATCAGTACGGATTCACATTCACGAAATCAACATTATGCCAGAAAAACACCTTTCATTTTCCAGTTTTTATGGTATCAACAATTTGCATACCAATTACCCTCTAGTTAGTATTATGAACATTATTTTCATTCTTTCTTTTGATCTCAGCTTATTTAATCGTTAATGTATTTATTCAGTAGACTGATTCATCTGTTATTACTTAGAAGTGATAAAAACTATTTTGTTTTACTATCTTTAAATCAGAATTCACCTAGCCAGAACTACAATCTAATGTTGAGGAACTTGTGTTAAATGAAATATTTTAAACATAAACTGGACTAAAGAATATTTTGCTGTCTCATAACCGACATTGAAATTAAGTTAGTGTTTTTCTTCCAGTTCTCTTTCATTGTGAACTTAGAATATATAACTGTACAACATTTAAGTACAGAAATGTCATTATACTAAGCGGTTTATATTAAATGAGAAAGATCGAATTAAATGAGTTCCTTATCGTGTAAAATAGCGAACAATAAACCTATAACAGTTTACTACGTATTTACTTTGCCAAATATTATTTTCTGTCAATCGAAACCATTAACTATGCACTGTAGAAATAAAACTTGGTTTAATACTGAAAAAGGTATTCGGAATTACAACAGTCTGCATAGTTAGCAGAGATGGATAGTGGCTAGCAGTGGAATCCAGGACGCGCGTTTCGTTCTATTTGGGACTCATCAGCTGGATGTACCTGCATCTCAGAGTTGATGTTCACTCTGGGACTCGATGGGAAGATTCAAACAAACAGTATTAAGTTGAGTCTGCATAGTTGTTTTAAAAATATCTTATGAAATGTTATTGAATGTATAGAAAAAATACATTCAAGTATACTTGGTAATACTACCATCTTGAAAATCGGATTAGGATGATCAACCGTTGCTTTTACACCTTTTCTATTTGAAATTAAGAGATACTATCCATCGGAGACAGGAACTAATATAATAAACAATTCATATTCTTTCATTACTTCTAAATAAAATATCCATTTATCTTGAAAATTTAAACAAATTATTATGGTAAATATGATGAATAGATAATTAGAAATCGCAGAATGATATTATGAAACATCTGTAAGAATATCTAACCAGAATCCGAGTTATTGAATGTGTACCAACTATTCTCACTCGACTAATCCTCTCTGTTAATCTGATATGATAAGTAAAGTCAGAACGATAATATTGTGTTATATGGTCTGTACAATAAATAAGCCAAATACTTCGCCTAATTGCTGTAGAACGAATACTGAATATTGATATGAAAACACTAACTCAACTTATGCTCACCTGACTAAGCCTACTGGGTACAAGTTACTAAAAAACTTAAGTGACGTTGAAAGAAATATTTAAAAATGTCAATATTTATAAGGTACGAATGAACCTTTTTTGTTGAATTATTCAACGATTTCCCACAAGGATATTTCTAGACTGTGCTTAACTTTGGTTCAAATATATAGATCGATGATTCATGAACATCTGTTTTTCAGTTAACATTTGAAGTTTTTTCACTTTACACATCAAGACGTTCAGGTACCAACATTTTCAGATTATTGTTATGTAGAAACTTTTAATAAAGTCATGGCTAGGAACTTAAAAAGCTATTTTGATTTGCTGTTGATCGTGAAATTACAAACCGGTGCTTTTGTATATAGTATTTCCTCGATAACCAATGCCGGATTCTGATTTTGAACATTTTGCACAATGAAGGTTGATTATTCTTTACGTTGCTAGTAGTCATCTATTTATAATGAATATTTTCTAAACAGAAGTAGTCTAAGACAGTGTTACAAACGTTTTACAACAGCACTGTTGATTA